TCAGTAAATAATATAATATTTTTAGATTCTTCATAGCTTCTGAAAAGTGTTTTCTGCCTAAATTTTTTAAGAAAATACTTTCTTAAAAATCAAGCGAAAATTTTTTTTGACTAAAAATTATTTTCTATTAACCGACTTTTTTAATAGCAAAAAAACACATAAAAATTTAAAAAATAATTTTACAAGAAACAAACATAATCTAAACTATTAAACTTGTTGCATGCCAAGATATAGGAATATGTTCCTTTCTCTCTCACATAATTTTATTTAAGAAAGCATAGTTTTTTTTTTAAAATAATTTATATTTTGAATTTAACTAGTTAATTTATAACTATATTGTTTTATTTTATTTAAAAATAAATTAAAATTGCATCTTTAAAAAAAATTAATTTATATTTTATCCAGATTAATTCATTATATCAAGTCAATTTTCACTCTGCTTGACACAAAAATTAGCATAGACTATGTGAATTTAACAACACTACATAGAATCACCTTGTGTATTAAAAATCTTTTACATCATGGAAGCATTTTCATGTTATTATAAGCTCCATCAGAATTAAAATCCCGTTTGTATATTTAAAAGTATTTTTTTATTTATTTAAAGTTGTTTTTATGAAAAGTAAATTATTATCTATGTATAAAATATTTAGTAAAAAAATGTTTTAATTTATATAAAATTAAGATATGAAAAGGTAGAACAAGAGAAAAAAACGGAAACTAGACGACGATCTAAACTGCTTTTTCTCAATGTACCTCATCTAACCCATGGACTTCAACAAAATAATTAAGTCTTTAAAGGCCCAAAGTGAAAACTGGGTTTCATCGTTGAACCTAAATGGGCCCATGATCAGGCAAGGCCCAAGGGTACTTCAAATTTGTCTAGCGACTGAATTGCTCGTAGCCTAGAAGGCATCGCTTGCTCGTATGGGCAATGTGCAGTTTTGAAGAAGGGATTTTGCATGGCATTGAGCTGATTCAATACAGAAAAATACATCCCATGTTGTGCCCTGGTGGAGATGGAGAGTAGCAAGCAAGCCCAAGCCATTGTTTTAGAGATCACTCTCAGTTCCCCTTCATGACGTCTGGGATGCCAATGCCTGTTAGAGCCTTTCCTGCTGAAGAGAGGTGTTTGATGATCGTCCAATCAAGCCTGGTAGAAGGATACAGTGCTGTTGGTTAATGGACCAAAAGACCATGATTTTGAAGTGGTTGTGTTCTTCTGAATTGCCATTCTCACTTGCAGCACCGGACGTGGACGCAGAAGAGAAGCTTGAAAAGCTGCAAGAAGAAGCCCTTAAAGCGAGTTATAAGCTCTACATAACAGATAATGTCATGTCTACCAGCAATCAGTGGAGATGCTACGTACAGAACGTAAGAGATGCATGGTCGAGTTGCTTCGATGAGGGCCTCACTGAGATAAGATTTCTGTATCTCAGTACTGTTCATTGCATGCTTTATGATCAAGCTGCTTAATTAGGCCTTTCTTCTAGACACCATAAGTTTAGAAATCCAAGCAGTCTGCTAGTTTTGGATTCATGTCACCAAGTATCTGAGAAAAAGGTTATTGAAACAGACGTAGCTTTATGAACTTCATCTTTTGATTGTGCTTTATACAGTAAGATCATCTTCTTTTCTGAACTGACTGGTCTGAGTGATGGGTTCAGGCTCGTTGAGTACCTTCTCAAAGAATTGCTGCTCCTTGGCTACTGTTTCTTTCTCCGAGAGTGCACTTTAGTGGTGTTTTTTGCTCATAACTGAAGTTGCTTTGCTGTTCCCAGCTGAGGGAGAGCCCTTATTTGGGCTGTGTGGACAATGAGTAAGACTTCCTTTTTTTTATATTTTAAAAATACTTTTTTTTTAAATTAATATTTTTTTAATATTTTTAAATCATTTTAATTTGATATCTGATTTCAAAAATAATTTTTTAAAAATAAAAAAAATTATTTTTGATATATTTCTAAATAAAAAATATTTTAAAAAGTAATGACAACTAAGATTCCAAACAGACTCAAAAACTTTTAAAAAAATATTATTTTGATATATTTCTAAATAAAACATTGAATATAAATATATATATAAAAATGATCTAAAAAAGAGTCAATGTAATCCGAATTAAGCCAGGAGATCAACATTTAAGCTATTAATATAATTGAAGTTTATATTTTTATTAAAACGAAGCTATTTTATATTTTAAAAATCTTTGAAGATAATTTAATTATATTTAAATTGAGTCTCCTTAGATCAATCAAATTACTAAAAACTTGATTAAATCAATTAAGTTTTATATTGTTAATAATTTTTATTTCAACTTGAAACTTAGCTCAAGCCTAACTTGAGTTATGAATTTTTTAAATCAGCCAACAAGATCAGGTTGGGTTTAATGAAAGTATATTTAGTAAATTGGTGTAGTTTTGATTGTATCCATGGCCTCCTTCTTTTTAATGTGCTTTTAAAAATAAATAGATGTTGACTGGTATAACTTAATTGATTAGATTTTATGTTTATTATTTAGAGGTTATTGATTTAAATTTTAAAATTATTAAAAATTTATATAATTATTAATTTTAAAATTTATAAAATTCTAAGATTAGTTAAAGTTTGTGTAAGTTGTCATAAATACAGACATCACTAGTAATAATTAACACCGTGTGTTACCTCCACAAGCTTGTGGAGAGGCAAAGGCCATGATGGCACCATGATCCTTTTGTTTTCTTGTTCTTTGTTTTTAATGGTGATAGAAGTATAGTTTCCTATCTTTATCTGTGAATAGGAAAGAGAGAGAGTGAGAGGATCTGGCCTCACCCACATCTA